TCGAAATTATCCCCCTTCGTAAAGCCCTAATTTTTCAAAGCTTCACCTTCCTCGAAAGTTTTTGATTTCGTTTTTCTTTTTCTTTTTTCAGATCCTGCACCTCCATCTCCTTCTTCGACCACTTCCTTTGATTCAGTTCAGATTTTGCCCCTTGCACTTGAGGCCGTTCCACTTTCAATTCTTTGTCCCGGCGAGACTGTCCCTACCATCGTTTTTACTGCTCGTGTCGCTTCTTTCAACTTAGGGGATACTATGGATAATATCCCCCTCCGCCGTCGTCGACCTACCCTTGGCGAGTTAGACGATCCAGAGGTGGACGAGGTTATTTCTCCTCAACCCACTTCTGTTCCTTCTTCAAACATTCCTCCTTCTTCTTCTCAACCTGGTACTTCTAGCTCTCCTTCCAATAAGGCCTCGACCAAAAGAATCTCTAAGGCTTCTTCGAGGCGTCCATCTTCTACTTCTCTTTCCCATCCTTGGTATGATCCTGAAAAGATCAGCCAACCTCTCGGTTGGGCGTTCTTTAGCTCTTCTTCCTCTGATAAATACGATCATCCCCCGAGGGACTGTTATACCTTTTTCGAAATCCAATTTAAGCTCGGCTTTCGCTTTCCCCTGTGCCCTGAACTTCTTCAGATTTGTGAATGGTTCGGGCTTTCTCTGCACCAACTCCCCCCAAACGCCATTCGTTTTATGACCATCTTCATTATCCTCTGTCGCGTCCATTTACGTCGATTCGACCTAGAATTCTTCCATTATTGCTACGTCCCCTCTAAGCAAGGTCGTGGCCTCTATTTGAAGAGCCGCAATGTCGCCCACTTCATCAATGATATCTCCTCCAATCTCCCCAAGTGGAGTGATAAGTTTATCTTCGTTCGGCCCGATGCTCCTTTTCCTTGGCTGTCCGTCCCTTGGGTCAAGGAGGTTTTGCGAGAGGCGGCTTCAGCCCCTCTTCCCAACCCACTGTTCGACCAACGGGTCTTCACTTGGAACTCCAAGTCCGTTGCGTCCGAGAAACTCCTTAGGGATGAGAACCTCCTTCATTATTGTGGTCTTCTCACCCACAAGACTTGTCATCCTCCCAGTGACGAGATCCTCGATCTTATCCGGATCGAGAATGACCCAGGTAATCTTCGACCAGATTACTCAAATGTTCTGGCACTCCTCTGTGTTTGTCTTAATTATCCTTTGTTAATCTTTTGTTATTTTCTTGTAGAGGTGCCCAGTTTTAACATTCCCCTTAGGAAAACTCCTTTGAAGAAGAAGTCAGGGGCTATCTCTGGCTCGACCGGCGACAGAAACGAGGGATGGGCCAGTTCTGGTGGGCCTTGACCAGAGCCGCAGCAACGATCGCCTCCACGATAGACTCCACCACCACCGAAAGAACAACAACAACAACAACAACAACAGCCCCAACCACAACAACAACAGCAGCCGCTACAACCTCAACCACCGAAGCCACCACAAGGACGAACCTCACAGCCACCCCCTAAGAAGAACACTCAGCAAAAATTCATCTCTTCATCGGCCACCAAATCTTCGACCTCCTCCAAGGTCGATGATCGTCAAAAGACTATCGACCGTCAACACAAGCCTGACGACCGCCAAAAAACTGCTGATCGTCAACACAAGGTCGATGACCACTCACAAAAGACCGACGACCGCCTT